CAGGAGGAGGAGGAGGAGGAGAAGAGCGAGGAGGAGGAGGAGGAGAAGGAGGAGGGAGGAGGAACAGGAGGACAATGACGGGCGGGACTTGATTTATACACCACGTCGCTTGGTCTGCCAGGGACCAGAAGAGGAACAGATGCCTGCACGGCTTCGGGAGTTTGGGGTCTCCTGGGCCCTCGTCGCCACGGCCGCATTCGCCTCGAACTCCTGGTCGGTACGCACCACGGGAGAGGTCCCGGGAGCAGAGGTATCGGCATTTCTGTGTGCCCCCAGAAGTCAGGGGCGGAAAAGAGGGGGGTGATGACTAGGGGGGGTGGATATCATGGCGGAGGCCATGATATTTCCCCGGATCTCATGGCGCCTCTTATTACTCCATTACGCCCCTGGCCCCCCCGCTGGGCCGCGCGCGTGCCGCCGGTCATGATTTGCACCCCCCCCTCTTGGACACCCCCCTCTTGGCCGCTCCCGACAGAAGTCGAGGTCACCCCCCCAGAGATGGGGGTAGGGACTGGCAGATCTTCTCAAGGGAGAGGGCTCGATGCATACACCACGTCGCTGGGCCGGCAAAGGGGCTCGCTCGCTCGGTGTACCCCCACCTCGCGATATAAAGTTACCCTGGCGACGTACCCAACCCCTGCGCAGTGCAGGGCAGGAGTAGCTTGGGAGATTTGAAAAGGGGGCGACGACGTGACATGGACGCTAATACCTCTGCGAGCGACATTCGGGAGGTTCCCAGGTCCCCGATCAAGGAAATGGCCCGCTCAGGTCTGCGCGGTGCCTCATTCCCTCTCGCAGATCGAAGCCCCCCCCCAAGGACGGCGAGGTCTCGCTACGGGCTCGTTTTATTGCCAGATGCGGTGAACTCCCGCGGGTGCGGGCCTGCTAGACGCCAGTTTCGATGATGATGACTGGTGCCCTGCCAGGAGAGCCCGTGGGCGAATTCCATCTTCCTTCCTGACCCGCCCCTTGGAATTTCAAGATTGGCTCGCCTCACAGAACTCGCACATCGATGTTGAACGCCCAGATGTTCAGAAGCAGTGCATGCGTAAGCTCAGGGTCCATCACCTTCGCTCCCTCTCACCTGCCATTGCCCTCCTTCGGAGGGTGCGGAACTGGATCCCAGAAGTTTGGCCTATCGATATTGCCCGTATCCTGATGCGTTTGAAGCCATTCACTGCCCGTACGAGCGTGTACATCTCGCCGGCTGTCATCCGTATTTCATCCAGAAGTGTTTGTACGAGCTGTCGGCTTCATGCTGCTCCCAACGGTTGTCTGTTGGGGTGTCGGGATGACGCTTTAGATTTTGATGATTCGAAACGTTACCAACAGTGTCCTCGACTTCGGAATCATTTTGGATATTGGATGGACTCTTGAACCTCTAGGTCTCGTGAGGGCTCGCCGTGACTTCCCTGCTTCCTCATTTTTCGGACTATGGGACCCGACCAGTGCCTCCTTACTGCTGTGCTATGTGATGCCTTCCTCTCTGCTCACCATGCGTTTCGTCTTTACCTCCCAGGTCGACCCGACCAACATTTTGAAGCACGTTCACGCACGCAGGCCAGACGTCACAAAGCCTGTCGTAAGCTCTGGGGACGCCTCCGGACGAGATTCTTCACTCAGTACGGGAGCGGCCCGCTGACGCCTGGTGGCCGAGTGTGCTCCCGAACGCTGGCCGTCGGCGTAGGCCTTTGTGCCACCGGGAGGCTGGTGCGGCGGTCATCATGGGCGCGTGGCCCCTGGACTCCGGAGCATCTGGAGACCCCCTCTGGAAAAAAAAGGCCGGCGAGGTCTCGCTCAGGTCTGCGCGGTGCCTCAACAGATTCCCAAATCGCGGCCCCAAGGGACGGCGAGGTTTCGCTCAGATCCGCGCGGTGCCTCGCTCCGCTGGACCCACCAGCAGCCCTCGAAAGTGGCGACCGTTTCGCAGATCGCAGCCCCCCAGGAACGGCGAGGTCTCGATCAGGTCTGAGCCGTAGCCCTCGAAAGTGGCGACAGTTTCGCAGATCGCAGCCCCCAGGAACGGCGAGGTCTCGCTCAGGTCTGAGCGGTACCTCACTCCGCTGGACCCACCAGCAGCCCTCGAAAGTGGCGACAGATTCGCAGATCGCAGCCCCCCAGGGACGGCGAGGTCTCGCTCAGATCTGCGCGGTGCCCTCGAAAGTCAGATCGCAGCCCCTCAGGGACGACGAGGTCTCGCTCAGATCTGCCCGGCGCCTCGCTCCGCTGGACCCGCCAGCAGCCCTCGGCAGAGGTGACAGTTTCGCAGATCGCAGCCCCCTAGGGTCGGCGAGGTCGGAGAAAAGTATTGCAGGCAACATGCACACACGAGCGGCAATTATGCACAAGGCAACAGGAGACAAGAAGGAAGGGTGGGCGAGAGGCGGGAGGAGAAGGAAAAGGAGAAGTGGAGCCCACAGTGCTCAATTCAAAACGAATACCCAACCAATGCGTGTCGGGGAAAATCGCGGCGGACTGTTTTTGGTCATGTTCGGCTTCCGGGAGCCTTCGCCGGGCCCCAGGACCGTCAGAAAGCGACTTTGTATGAAACGTTGGTCCCATGCAAGGGGTCTAGACCTCTGGGGGTCCACGTTGTGATCAAAAAACACGACGTCGGAGATCTGGATATGCGCCTCGTAGCTCGGTGCATGGGCGCATGGAGCCCCAGGGACCCAACCTGTTGGACGCTGGGGCGTCTGTGCGCCGAGATCTTTCGCCGAGTTCCGCAGCTCCCTAGCCAGCCAAGCGACGTGGTTTATGCATCGAGTCATTCCGAATCTCAAGTGCCCCCAGGGAACGACGAGAATCGCGCTTCGCGCGAAGCGGTCTGGGCTAGAGCGGCGGCTGTTTCTCGAAAAGTGGTGGCTCGTTGGCGCGAAGATGATGGCGCACCACCCCCTGCGAGCCCAGCCTGCTCTCTCTTCATCCCTGGGCCCAGAACTGGGCTCCACTCTGGAGGCCAAAAGAGAACAACACCAACAATCAGTTCAATAGTGTTCGCTGTTATCTGATCGCGTGCCACTCTACATGCATATCCCGAGCTCTCGATGCCCTCCCTCTTCGTCTTCGATGGTGCCCCCCTTTGGGGCAATCTTCCCTACCTTCCACGCACAATTGGCGCAGCCCATAGAACAAGGGAAGAAGCGGCAAGGGGGATGGGGAAGGATGGGGGCACGAGGGAGACTCACAGGAGGGGGGTCCGGTGCAGGAGCACGGGCGGCGGAGCCGGACGGGCGCGTCGTGCGGGCGCAACCTCACGGGCGGGTCGGGCGGGCGGGCTCGCACGACCCGTGTGAGCGGGCGGGTCGCTGAAGCGTCCGTCTCGCAGGGATCGCGAGGAGTTCCCGAGCGACAGCGCGATTCCAAGGAGATCTGGAGGAGATGCGGAGCGGGAGCGGGGTTCCTGAGTGTCGAGGGCGCGGCGTCTGAAGAGCGCGCGCGGAAGTCCCACGCGAGAGCGCGATGTCTGCATGGACTGCGAGGAAGTGCCGCGCGAGAGCTCGATGTTGAACAACTCGTGAGCACGTATCAGACGGGAGCCATTGTCGTTTTATTTCGGGGGCCAGGGCCCAGTCCGAGGCCAAAGCCATTGTTTGTAAAAAACAGGGTGCGAGCACCGGGAGGGACACTTCAAATGAAAGCCATGCATGTTATTGGGGAAGGGCGATCAAACATGGTTCTCCTGTAGAGCTGAAAGCTCAGCAGCAGCAGCAACAACAATAAGTTTGAGACTGTTCGCTCTTGTCTGGTCGCGTATCAATGAACATGTACCTCCCAACCCATCGATACCCGACTTCTTCGTGCATATCTGGCGTAGCCTCCCAAACAAAAAGAAGACGGAAACAGGAAAACACTGATCGCGAGGAAGAAAGGAGTGTGGGAAGCGAGGGATCGGGGAAGTGACCAGGGTGAGAGAGACGGATGGGGCACGAGAGAGGCTAGCAGGAGAGGGGGGCTAGGAGCAGGAATACAAGCGGTAGAACCAGACGGGTGGGTCGTGCGGGCGGACCTTGACGGGCGGGTCGGGTGGGCGGACTCAGATTGTCCTGTTGAGTGGGTGAGTCGTTGAAGCGTCAGTCTTGCACGAATCGCGAGGAGGTCTCGAGCGATCGCGCGATTCCAATAAGCAGATCGTGAGGAAGTCCAGAGCGGGAGCGTGAGGTTTGAGCGTCGGTGGCGCGGCGTCTGCACAGAACGCGAGGAAGTCCCACGCGAGGGGCACTTCGTTTGAAAAGCACGTGTGTTACCGCAGGGGGTGATGAACAATAGTAGCTTTTCCAAAGATGAGAATTCAAACATGTTCAAACTGTTCGTTCTCATTTTTTCACGTGTCACGCCCTCTTCGTCTTCGATCGTACACCCCCTCCAGACATCGGGCTACGAGAAAAGTGCACGTACACCGATCTTGGTCAGGCCCCTCCTCGGCCAAGGAGGGCGTGGACGGGCGCCTGCACTGATCCGGGGCCCAGGACGAGCTCGGCCACGATCGGCGTACGTGCACGGCCCTCGACGTGAAGGAGCTCCCGCCCCCGGGCCGTCGCACGATGACCCACGGGCGATGGGGCCCCCCCGGGACCCGCAGCGGGCCTTCGTTCTGGGGCCCGCAGCAGCACAAGACGTCGACGACGTCTGCGAGACCGAACAAGCACGAGCGAACGACACCGATCAAACCTGACGAACGATGGCGACACCCGGCGGCAACGCCGCCGACGCCGCACGAAGGACGACACCGAACGAACGACGACGACGACGACGACGACGACGACGACGACGACGGCGACGGCGACGACGACGAAAACGGCGACGACGACGACGACGACGACGACGACGACGACGGCGACGAAAACGGCGGCGACGACGACACCGACGACGACGACGACGACGACGACGACGACGACGACGACGACGACGACGACGACGACGGCGGCGGCGGCGACGACGGCGGCCTGCGGCGAGCGGCGGCGGCGGCGGCGGCAGCGACGGCGCCCCCCCCGACGAGGCGCCGCGCGGCGCGTGCGAGCCGCCTGGGCGGCCGCCGGGCGTCTGGGAGCGGCCCGCCGCGCAGGAGCGCCGCGGCAGGTCGCCGCCGCTGCAGTGCGGCGTGTCTCAGGAGGTAAACA